CTTCTGGGTCTGACAGGTTAAAGCACTAACAAGTGCAAATGGAGAGACAAGCGGCGGCATAATGAGAGCGAGAGATGGTGATGAGTGACTCACAGTTTCACCTCCATCAGATTGCACAAGTCCCATCAGAGTTTGTGATGCCCGTGTAGAGGGCTCGTGGTTTCATCAGGAAGACTCCATGTGCTCTTGGGGATTTCTTAAAAATACAATTAAGTGTCACTCTATTCCCAGCATGGGGTGTGGCAAGCAGGGTGATTCAAAAACGGGAAGGAGGGAGGACAGCCTACTGAGAACAGGAGTGGCTTAGGTGAAATTTCCCAAGGAAAGAAAATCTGCAACAACCACTGGGAGCTGGATTTACATGCGGGATAGGAGCGACTGACACAGACATGAGGTCACAAACCCAACAGTAGGAGTCATAGCCTTCTACCTGAACCAATAGCAGACTGCAGTGCTGCTTCACACATGACCATATTTGGTCAGAGTCAGGAAAGGGCACATTTTATCCACAACAGATAGGGCTTGCTGTTGTGCTACACAACCCAAAGTGGACTCTCAGGTAGGAAAACAAAAGGGAATGCAGGAGCAAACATAAAGATAAAAGAGCATCAGAAATAATAGAGATAAGGTTGGGCTTGTTGAATAAAGGATAATGGCTAATCTTGCATTCCTGCCATTGTTTTGGGCCAATTCAACTTCACAGCCCACTCTTGTCTGCACTGAAAAGCAGAGTAACACTTAGGAACAGTGGCTAATCATTATTCAGCTATCTCTGTTTACTTTTGTTGCGTTTTAAGGCGACTTATTCGGTCACTGTGACACGAGGGAAAGAAAAAGAAAAACATCTTATCAGCCACCCTTTCAACCATCCAGAAGCTCTCAACTTCATACGCAAAGAGAAAGCAACGAATGAATAATACACCATGATTGTTATTTCTTAAGAAGCTTGGAGGGGAGTGTGATTTTGTAAGAGCATGGAGTGTGTGAGTGACTGGAGTTTAACCACAGGCAGGAGGGAATTTGCAGCTGTCAGTCTGGGAGGCTGGTGGGAACAATGTGAAGTTTGTGCAACTGACAGAACAGACAGCAAGGTGAAACGAGCCGGGGGAGTAGAGATAACATCAGCGCACACATCTGAGCGGGCCTGTGTGTGTGTGAGTGAGTGTGTGTGTGTCCATGCGAGAAGAGGGTTAAATTTGGTTCCTCTATGGACACGAACGGCTTCTGTCCACTCCCCACGTCTCTCGCAGCTGTTGGTTTTGGCCTTGAAAGTTAGTAGCGCGTTTCGCCAAACAATGAAAACAATCAATGTTGTCCCACAGCCGCTCCCTCCCCTCTCCCCTCGCGCCAGCTTCCTGAGAAACAGGATGTTATGGATTCAACATCAGAGATGGATCTTCAGCTCCCTGAAAAACAGATTCCACGACAGAACCGCCACCTACAGGACCTTCGCCGATGGCCGCCTTTCTGGATCACGGTGCGCCATTTGCCCCATGACTAAATTACACAAACATAATTCACTTCCTATTTTTGTTAAAATAGTTCATCATTTTCACTTCTGTCTCTATGACCTTTATAAAGGGAGACAAAAACTATAATTTATATCCATAATGATACAGGATGAATCTAACAGTGTAATTTTTAATACAACCAGTCACATGTCCCCAAAAGTCCTGACAGTGCTTTCCAAACTTTGAAGGGAACAAGAGGGCACAGAGGAAGGGTCACGCTCGCTCGTCCAAAGCATGACAGCAGCAAAAGTTCAAAACGACAAGTACGTCGCCTCCGAGGTCAACAACATCTGATTGAACCCTGACACACCACGAGTCAAATATTCCCGTCTGATTCTGCAGCCATCAGTCAGCATGACTCACTTAACCCTGCCAGAAGACATCTGTGATCATGCGCATGCGTAACCATCAATGAAGGCCTTGTCGACTTAATTAAACTCGAGTTGTTGAAATGAGCGCTCACACCTGCCGAAACAAGAGAAGCACTCACAGAAATCCACATCTGGCCAAGCGACTTCAGCCGAACCGACACCGTCGTTTGATGTTGAAGTCAGTGTGATGCTAAAGCTGAGCAAGACTTGTAATGGGATTGAAGCTTTACCCCACTAATCCACTTACCTCCTCACACATACACATGTGAAGTTAACATGTACGCACATATGCAGACACCCTTCGGTACGGCTCTCTATGGATTAACCCAGAGTCCTTAAGAGAGCAGACACAATCACAGGCTATGTCCAGAGCATGTGTCAGCAATCAAACGGTGGCTTGGAGACAAGTTGCCAGGAGAGCCCGGCGTGTGGTGTTATTAGTGGCGGCACCAGCAGAACAACAACAAACCTGAGCCTGTTGCACCTAAAGTTCAAACACCTACTATATAAACAGCTACCTGGATGGACCTAAAGCTTAAATGGAAGTCTTTAAACCATAATCCAGTATACGTCTGCATGAAACCGGTGTTTACAAAGAAGAAAAAGGCTAGCTTACACGTTCACATTCACGCTGACGGTTATCCACACCCATGCTTTTTTTTTTTTCCCTTCTTCCAGTAACAAAACACGTTCACACAAGACCCACCCAACAGGTTCACCGATAATCTCAGGCTGTGTGACCGACCACCACCTACACGGAGGAATGGATTTCGCAAAGACATTTTTTAATGTACACACAATCATGCCTTAAATATTTACGGTCAGGTTTAGTCATCAACAAAAGGAGTCGAGGTGATGAAATAGCAAAATATGCTTTAAGGCTCTATTGAGACTTTTCCTTTAAAGCAATCAAATTCTCTTGAATTTGGGTCAGTATTCAGTAGTTCATCATTATAGAAAAATGCTCATTTGTTTTGTCATCTAGTTGATTATTAAGATAAGACAAAAAAGCTTTTAATGAAGACTGACTAAAGGTCATAAATTTGAATTTTTCCTAATCAGGTTCTTGCTTCAAATTAACGTCTGTGTTAGTCTGTGTGACTCTAGCAAAACATTTGAGCAGTTTTTAAGACCGCTGAATCAATTATAGGACAATCTGGCAACACATGAGAGGAAGACTACTAGAATGACTCAATTAGTTCATTTCTGCGGCGCCAGTCTACTTATTTACTAGTATTTACAAGTGCAACTTGATGATGTCAATTCTTTTACCTCTTACGACGTCATCAACTAACATTAAACAACTCAAATATGTTTTCCTTTTACTTTGTTATTCAGTCCTGCAGGAAAACCCGGTGGCACACTGTGTTTCCACTGTGGGTGTGAAATTGAAATAAACAATCAGTTTAATCTTTTTTTTTTTCTCTCTCTCTCTCAAACCTTAAAATAATCAGAAATGTGGAGCCAGAATGAGAAGCATCTCAAGTTAGGAGCAGCCAGCATTCCAGTGATTTAGAAATCACACAGATTATTTGGCAATATGGGTCAGCAGCAATGAAGAGGACGTCATCAAACAGCAGAAATACATCATAAAAAAAGACCAATTGTTTAGGAGTTGTGCGTTTTACTCACGTTGGGAGCTTTGTAAACGCCACCGCCCCGCTAAATGAGACAGAAATCAGCTCTGTTGAGTTGAATGCTCGCTCAGCAGCAAAATGACCTGGATTGGCTGTCCTGCAACGTTAGCATCACAATAACCCACATAGCCCTCCGACAGGGGAGCTAACGTTAGCATACCAAACACATCGTCCGCTAAATTATTTAGACATAGCGGCCAAGCGGCGTTTACAGAAAACCTATCCTGGCATTCGCAGTCGTACTCGCTGGTATTATATGGTCTTTGGCGTCGCACAGTTCGCTGGGAGATTAATCTGTTTGAACTTTCAGATTAGCATCGTTAGCCAACGTTAGCCACCGAGAAGTCGTGCTCATCTGTCGAAAAAAGCGACCACTCCTTGGCAACGCTGCAGTGCCCTCAAAATGTGCGAGTAACGGGAGGGAGGCACGAAAAGCGCAAATTACGACCAAACATCTGGGAATAATTAAGGATTTACTCACCTGCTGAGGGAAAACCAGCCCCGACCCCTTCCAGACTACTCCGTTTTTTAGTGTTTTCTGCCCTCTCTCTCTCCCCCTCCTTCCCTGTCCTGTGGGTCAGCCTTGTGGAAAACCAAGCGACATCAGTTTTCTACCAAACGGAGGGGCGGGATTTCAAGGGCTTTACGGTAAACACGTCGCACCCGGAATGTGTCGTACAGGTGTGCGTCGTCCCCGCGAACAGTTTACCAAATCTACGACTAAACCCTCTCGATCAAAACACACATCTCCTTGTGTGACCAGGTTGGTTATTGCAATTGTAAAATAGGGGATTTAAATTCCGTTTGCAGTGCCGCCTCCTGTCTCCTCCCATGTATTTCCGCCTCTGAACACACACTGATGTCATTTCATTGATTGCCCAAGAACAATGGTCACGAAGGGGAAGCTTGGGTGCACTCCGTGGGGGAGCAGGAGCAGCATTCCACGTTGACACGAGAAAATGGTTGGCACATAAAAACAACGCTACAACTAACTACTCGCTTCAGTGGAAAAACTCCCTGACGTCTTTGGTATTCCTTGATGTCTATATTAGGCATTTCCTGACGTGCTTTGATGAAATCTGCTTGTTTTACTTCCATTAAGTAATTAAAGAAAATTCAAAGTTCATAAATTTTGTTTCTGTTTTATGAATAGAAATCTGAAAAGTCTGGCAATATATTTGTATTAAGTCCCATTTACTCTGATTTCCCTCAATAAAAAGTGAAACAACAGGCCTTTACAAGAAACCTAATTCTCCTGGTGTGAAATTTGCCTTCCAGTAGGGTGACTCTAAGCATACAAGCTTCAATAGCATGACTGAAATCGAAGAATATTCAAGATGAAAAGCCCGGGCCAATAAATCCAATAAAATCTTTGAGGCAAGACTTGGGGAAAAAAAGTATCTGCTGAAGCTTTCCATTCAGTTAAAATTATGTTTGTGTAGAGGAATAGGATGAAATATCAATCTCTCGCTATATGAAGCTGGTAGAGTCAGACTTAAAGCTGTAATTGCACAGACAAGTGGTTCTAAAAAGCACTGACTCAGGATGTGTGCATCAAATACACACTACACTTTGAAAAAATTTATTAGTAAAAGAAAAAAAAAAAAAATTTCCATTAAAAAAACAAAAACAAAACAGCTGCTAAATAGTTAACTTCTGAAAAATCAAAAACATGTGAATAAATAAAATACATTGATGAAGTAATCCAAAAAATCTTTCCAGTCATGATTCACACTAAGAAAGGCTGAGTGGAAAGAAGAACAATGCAAGGAATTTCCCCACAGTTTCCTTGAGAGCCCCCCTCAACGCTCTTCAGAATGAGAAATATTAGACACACAAGAAATATTTACAATAGTGCTGCCCCCTGGCCGTGCAGTGTGGAAAATTATTTATGACAGAGTATCCAACACTAAAGAGCACATCAAACAAATAAGTATAAAAACTTGGAAATCAGCAATAAAGTTGGAGGAAGTTTGTTTAGAAATGAAAATAGCACACAATCACAAAAAAAGGAAATGTTTCCTTCCTTTGTCTATTTTTACAATTCATTATGCTATGTATGAAAACTCAGACGGTTATTTCAAAATGCATAGTATGTGTTGAAGGATCTTTAAATACAGCGCACCTTCTGCACCCAGACAAGAACAATCATTCTTTTCTAAATTTTAAAATTGCTCTTAGAGAAATTCTGAAATGAAAAACACGTCTCAAAGCTATATTGAAATGTTCTACATAGTTCATTGGACTGATAATGAAATACAGTAAAGAAAATCAAGATCTATTTTAAAGTCCGTGTTAAAAGATTTTTTGGGAATCTAAAATATAAACATAATAAAGCTCCCAAATCTGAAAAAGGGAAAGTAACATATTTCTACTTCTGGTATTGTAGTTCTTTTAGTTTTTACATATATCAACAATAAAATCTGCCTGGGCAAAATGCTTTCAATAATTCAGAATACATTTTGTGTTCTGACCTGAAATATGTTTTTTTGATAACTACAAAAAAATGTTTTTAATTGAATCATTTATCAAACAATTCTTAAAAATGATCAAGTTTAAACTAATTAATTTTGTCAATATTCTGAACTAAATTCAAAAGAGAATCAATGAACAAAAAAAGACTATAAATGACTGAAACAATGACGTGAAGAAAAATTCAAAACAAAAAACTAGAAAAAGATTTGAAAAAATTGTTTTCAATCAATAAAATTCATAACACAAAAATTAAATAGTACTAATTATTTAGGAATAAACCACATGTAAATACACTGCTGATGTAAATACAGTCATGATCTAAAGTTTTGTCAGTGACACACGGCTGTTTCTGTTTTTATGGAAAAAGGTCAGTCATTCTCATCTTAATGAGCTTTATTGGCTTAAAATAACCAAAATAAATGTTTTGCATTCATGAACTCGCTAAAAATACCAGTTAATTGTAATAAAAAAGGAGAACAACTAACATATTTGTATCTAATTAGTTAATTAACTGCAGTATAAAAGGAAATGTGATAGAGGCCTTTGTGATTTTGAGTTAGCAGAAAGACAGCAGAAAGAAAAAACACATGCAGCAACTGTTGACGGTTCACATATTGGGCTCATACATAAAGAAACCTGCAAGCAGTGTTGAAGTTTACATAAACATTTAGGAGTCTTCAAGCACTTCAAGAGATTTTGTTGAAGAGAAAATGGTTTTATGGTGTCGAGCAAGCTCCAGAAAATATGCACAATGGCAATACCGACAGTGCAGAGCCAGCTCGACACTGGCCTAAAGGAGAAACATGGAGTTAAGAAAAGGAGAGAAAGAATGATAAAGGGAATACAAGAAAACACCTGCAGAAAGAGAGAACTCACAGTGACTAACAACATATACATATAATGGAAAGTACACAGTACTAATTATAACCCAATGTATTTAGTGGCAACCACAGCCTTATAGAGAGCATCAATAAACACCTGTGAGAGTGTTGACGCACTTGTGTGGCTATATGAGGTTTCTCATTAAGAAACCTCATATGTCGCGTCACAAGACTGACACGACGCTGTCATAAACATGACATTAACATGTTTATGACATGAACATGGAGTCTTCATGAATGTTTATGACTGTTGTCATGAAGTGTCTTTCAGTAAATAGTGACACTTTTAATGCGGCATCGTAGCATTATTTGATAAATAGACATTTTTACCCAAAGTTGCATTAAAACTTACAATGAAAGTCAATTAAAAGAATCAACTTTGCATTAAAAGTGCCATTATTTACCAAAAAACACTTTATGAAAACAGTCATAAACATTCATGTTCATGACAGATGCTATATCGTGTTTATGACAATGTAAGGTCAGTCTTGTGCATACAGAGGACCACCAATGCACCAGAAGGCTTGTTAATGTCTTATTAAGACATTAATAAAACTTTTATTAATGTCTTATGTGATATGCAAGACACCTTTTGTATTTAGATTTATTAGATCACAAAATTTGTGTCAACACCGTAACTTTTTCCCATGACTGTGAGCTAACTGAATCATTGAATTTTAAACATCATTATTCACACAGCATCTTGTCAAGACATTGTGTGAACGATGACGCTTAAAATCTGGATCTTTTCTTCGGCTGAATCAAGTCGAAAGATTAAAATTAATATCCAGCTTTTATGGCTCTCCAATTAATTACATAAGTTTGGTTTGGTATTTAACTCTGGGGCTTTAAATATGAAACATAAGAAGAAAATGTAAATGTCTTATTAATGCTCTGAAATACTTGAATCACATTTCTGGTTTTTTTTTTCATTTCAGGGATCAAGTCGGGAGTTATTATGCTGCAAGCAAGGAAATGTCAAACTCTGACTCAACAACACTGCTGCGGTTTGTTTTCTTATGATAAACAAAACGTTATTCCAGGAAATCATTCCTGGAAATCATTCCAGACTGACCACTTACTTAGGGTCACAACCCTATGGTGGAATTGTGCGTGATCATGTGTCTGCGCAGGTTGCTCGGGTTGTTGAAACTGGCGGTGCACTGGCTGCACGAAAACGGCTTTTCTCCAGAATGGGTCCTCAGGTGGATCTTGAGGCTGCCGTTCTGCGTGAAGCGTTTCCCACACTGCGTGCAGGCGTACGGCTTCTCGCCCGTGTGAATCCGCATGTGAATGGCCAGTGTGGTCTTGTTCGCGAAGGTCTTGCTGCACAAGGAACAAGGCGTGGGCGACTCACCGGTGTGGCCAGCACGGTGCACGATTAGCTCCTCGCGGCTGTGAAAGCGCTCGCCGCAAAAGCCGCAGTCCAGGGATTTGCTGGTCAGGTTGGGGAGGACGTTCTGCTGTTGAGAGAAGTGGCTGGGCTGTCCATTTGCATCCACTGCGGGGGAATTTAATGCTTGGTTCCCTGCTGCTGAAGATCTCCTAGTGGAAGGATCTCTTTCATGTTGGATGTTTCTCACCACCTCTGCACAGTTTTCCTGCACCCCTCCTACTGGTACTCGGCCATTCGCACCACTCGTGAAATTAAGAATCGTCTCCGGGGGGATACTGTGGTCAGACAGAACGCTCAACGCCTGAAGTTCAGAGGCAGAAAAGAGGATGTCACTGTCCTCCTGCAGAGGTGCTTCTCCTAGGCTGTGAACATTTACGATCCTCAGGTGCTTGTTATTATTGATCAAACAGGGTGAGCCGGATGAGTCATTCCCTGCAGCCTGCATGCAATCCTCTCCAAAGTTATTTTGACCTAAAAGAAGAAAAAAAAAAAAAACAGGAAGACAAACGTTTATTTGTTACATATTTATGGTTATCTTGCCTATAAAACAGAACAGCAAACAGCACAGTGAAGCTGATTCACCAATGTCAGGCGCAGATCCTACAACATCATCCTCGTCTTTGATCAGAATGACCTCTGGACCGTCCACATCTGCACACTGGCAAACAATCAGGCAGAAACTTGAGCAAATCAACACTTCAAACAGATTCACAACAACATAAAACTATGTGCACCTGCACTTGGACTGCGGAGGACGACTTGGTTTGGGTAGCAGAGGTGGAAGCAGTTTCAAGAACGGTTTTATCACCCTGTGCTGGCTTCAGAAACACTAAAGAGAAAGGAGAAAGTTTATGGTCAAAAACAGTAGTTGGTATAAAGACGGATGAACGGCCCGCATTAGTGTTAAGAACTGTGAGAAAAAAAAAAACACTGCAAAGATGAATGAGGCACAGACTTCTTTCTATCGAGAAGACTCTTCAAATGTACTTTGTTGTGACAAACACAACACCAATGCAGACCTCTGGTGGACAGTTCAGGTTAAAGCAATACTAGACGCCTATACAAAAACAAAAACGTGAGCAAAAAGGGAAATTATGTTGATATCCTCCATCTGGTTCTGACAATAAACTGACACAAACACTATAACTCCAGAACATAAAAATATCTAAGATGTATAATGTAAAAGGCAACATTGAATTTTAGGTCTTTATTAGCAGATATTCAACATTTGTTCTTATTGCAATGTCACTGCTCTTTGTAATAGCAGTTCTATTGTTCTATTTAATAAATAATAGCTAATAGTAGTATCATGCATTCAGACTATCAAGGCTAGTGATATATAACTGCTTTCATATATCATGTTGAAAATGGCTCAAAGATAAATGTCTGACCATTTAAAGTGGCAGCATCTTTTATGGATTGTTATTTTGTAGTTTCTTTGTTTACTTCTTTACTTATGTGTTATTTAAATAAGTTTCTTTATAATGACAGGTTCACATGCTAACTTTTGAAAGCAGTAAAGTCTTCTTTTGCTGTAATTTTCTTTGTATCATTATTAAATGTCCACTCAGAGGAGCCTAACCAAGGACAGGGCTTGCAAATTACAAGAAAATGGAATTGGCGCCCCGAAATCCTGTGGCCCCAAAACAATGATGGGACCGGCCCTGCTGGTAAACCACGTATTGTTCCCCACGTGAGGCGCGTCTTTTGTTGTTGTTAGAGTGAAAGTGCTGCTGGGAAAAAGGAGGGTCGTTACCCTGCGGTTTTGGCCGAGGTTTGGTTACATTTCCCCTGAAGGCAGAGAAGCGGCTGGCCGGTCGGTTCGTCCTGGCTTGGAGCTTGAGGGAAAACAGCTCGCTCCTCATCACCTTCATCCTCGTCCTCAGGTTTTCGTTCTCCCTCAGACTCTGGCTGAGATGCAGCCGCATAGATTCGGAGCTCTCCGAGAAAAGCTGCACGATCTCCGCCACGGCGGCTTTCACCAACACGTTCATGATGGACAGAAGCTGCGACTCCATGGTGAGGCCGCCGAGCGCCGCTGGCATGTCTGCGGACATGTTTTACTGGGAAGTTTGTTGGAAAACAACACCGCAGGGCCTCTGTCTGTGTGCGTTAGCCCTGAAAGCGAGCTACACAACAGTCTTCCTTCCGGTTAGTAAAGAGGGCGATTACCGTAAAGCTTAGAAAGAAGACGCAACTGCTTGTTGTTGGTTCAAAAGTTCTTGTTGGATCAGTGGAAATGATGAAAACTTTGTCAAATATGCCCTCAGACCCAAGGTTTTGTGTTAAATAGATGAATTTGTTTTAACTGAAAAGGTTAAAGGTTTCAGCGTTCATATGTTTTCATTTATCAATATTTAGGTGTATTTTAGTGTAAAACATTCAGTCCAGACCTGGTTTTAGCCTATAAATTGTGTTCATTAAGGGGATCCTAATGAAAATAAAAAGCTAATTTATATCACGTCATACTATAATTTAAAGATTGTCAAAAGTAGATTGATCCAGTTAATGTTTGACCAATTTATATTTTCAATTTAATACTAGATGTGGTTAAATGCTGTCCCTAAAATCCAATAAAATACCAATATAGTAATAGTAGGTGGCTAAATTTGCATGAATGTGCCTCAGGTAAGCCCCTGCTACCTGCCAACTAATCAAAGTACGAAAAATCTTATAAACCCCCCAGCAGGTAGAAATGTGGTGTAATTCTACAAAAAAGTGTTTGATCAAATCAGCATTGACCTTTAGGCAATGATACTTACTTGTACAGCAGACCAGTCTCAGAAAATTGTGAAAACACTTAAACAACCATATGTAGAAAAGTGTTGTGCATAGAAGACATTCAGGAGAAGGAAAGGTACAAAGATTTAGCTGCCATTGTTGGCATTGTTACTGAGAACAACTGGAGAAAAATACGTAATAGACCTTTTTCACGCTTCGGGGTTTGAAAGCTCATGTGGGGTTGGACAACTTCCAGTGGCTATAGCGTTAGCATTAAAAGGCTAGGAAAATGGCTCAGTCTCGGCTCAGTCGTTTTTGTTCAGTTCCTGGTTGTTCATGTGGGGCAAGAAAACAGCCTTATCTGTCATATCATGCGTTCCCGACGGACCCGGACAACGGAGGCAGTGGATCCAGGCGAATGAAGGTCCGGACTTTTGCATAAAGACGGGGAGCATTTTCGTATGTAGCCGCCACTTCAAACCGGAAGATTTTGTTGCGGATCCAACAAAATCCTTAAAAGTGTAGCTGTTCCTTCCCTGTTTGCCTGGAATAACTTCACTGCACCGGCAATGAGAGAGTCTGCTTTCGAAAGGGCTAAGAAGCGGCAGCTTGTCCTCTCACAGAAAGCTAGCCAGACTGAAGATGCCACTGCGGACCATGTCGACACGGCACATCCACCCGCAGGGGCCGAGGCGGTTGTGCGCATGCGCGGGATCGGGTCGTTTGTGCGCATGCGCAAGGCCGGGTGGTTGTGCGCATGCGCGGGATCGGGTCGTTTGTGCGCATGCGCGGGTTAAGGTCGTTTGTGCGCATGCGCGGGTTAAGGTCGTTTGTGCGCATGCGCGGGATAAGGTCGTTTGTGCGCATGCGCGGGGCCGGGTGGTTGTGCGCATGCGCGAAATCGGGTCGTTTGTGCGCATGCGTGAGATCGGGTCCTTTGTGCGCATGCGCGGGATCGGGTCGTTTGTGCGCATGCGCGGGGCCGGGTGATTGTACGCATGCGCGAAATCGGGTCGTTTGTGCGCATGCGTGGGATCGGGTCGTTTGTGCGCATGCGCGAAATCGGGTCGTTTGTGCGCATGCGTGAGATCGGGTCCTTTGAGCGCATGCGCGGGATCGGGTCGTTTGTGCGCATGCGCGGGGCCGGGTGATTGTACGCATGCGCGAAATCGGGTCGTTTGTGCGCATGCGCGGGATCGGGTCGTTTGTGCGCATGCGCGTGATCGGGTCGTTTGTGCGCATGCGCGGGGCCGGGTGGTTGTGCGCATGCGCGGGATCGGGTCGTTTGTGCGCATGCGCGGGATCGGGTCGTTTGTGCGCATGCGCGGGGCCGGGTGGTTGTGCGCATGCGCGAAATCGGGGCGTTTGTGCCCATGCGCGGGATCGGATCGTTTGTGCGCATGCGCGGGTTAAGGTCGTTTGTGCGCATGCGCGGGATAAGGTCGTTTGTGCGCATGCGCGGGGCCGGGTGGTTGTGCGCATGCGCGAAATCGGGTCGTTTGTGCGCATGCGTGAGATCGGGTCCTTTGTGCGCATGCGCGGGATCGGGTCGTTTGTGCGCATGCGCGGGGCCGGGTGATTGTACGCATGCGCGAAATCGGGTCGTTTGTGCGCATGCGTGAGATCGGTTCCTTTGAGCGCATGCGCGGGATCGGGTCGTTTGTGCGCATGCGCGGGGCCGGGTGATTGTACGCATGCGCGAAATCGGGTCGTTTGTGCGCATGCGTGGGATCGGGTCGTTTGTGCGCATGCGCGGGGCCGGGTGGTTGTGCGCATGCGCGAAATCGGGTCGTTTGTGCGCATGCGCGGGATCGGGTCGTTTGTGCGCATGCGCGTGATCGGGTCGTTTGTGCGCATGCGTGGGGCCGGTGGTGTGCGCATGCGCGGGATCGGGTCGTTTGTGCGCATGCGCGGGATCGGGTCGTTTGTGCGCATGCGCGGGGCCGGGTGGTTGTGCGCATGCGCGAAATCAGGGCGTTTGTGCCCATGCGCGGGATCGGATCGTTTGTGCGCGCGGGTTAAGGTCGTTTGTGCGCATGCGCGGGATAAGGTCGTTTGTGCGCATGCGCGGGGCCGGGTGGTTGTGCGCATGCGCGAAATCGGGTCGTTTGTGCGCATGCGTGAGATCGGGTCCTTTGTGCGCATGCGCGGGATCGGGTTTGTGCGCATGCGCGGGGCCGGGTGATTGTACGCATGCGCGAAATCGGGTCGTTTGTGCGCATGCGTGGGATCGGGTCGTTTGTGCGCATGCGCGAAATCGGGTCGTTTGTGCGCATGCGTGAGATCGGGTCCTTTGTGCGCATGCGCGGGATCGGGTCGTTTGTGTGCATGCGCGGGGCCGGGTGATTGTACGCATGCGCGAAATCGGGTCGTTTGTGCGCATGCGTGGGATCGGGTCGTTTGTGCGCATGCGCGAAATCGGGTCGTTTGTGCGCATGCGCGGGATCGGGTCGTTTGTGCGCATGCGCGGGATCGGGTCGTTTGTGCGCATGCGCGGGGCCGGGTGGTTGTGCGCATGCGCGAAATCGGGGCGTTTGTGCCCATGCGCGAAATCGGGTCGTTTGTGCGCATGCGCGGGATCGGGTCGTTTGTGCGCATGCGCGGGATCGGGTCGTTTGTGCGCATGCGCGGGGCCGGGTGGTTGTGCGCATGCGCGAAATCGGGGCGTTTGTGCCCATGCGCGGGATCGGATCGTTTGTGCGCATGCGCGGGGCCTGGGCGGATGTTGATGTTGGACAACTTCCGGTGGCTATATCGTTAGCATTAAAAGGCTAGTAAAATGGCTCAGTCTCGGCGCAGTTGTTTTTGTTCGGTCCCTGGTTGTTCATGTGGGGCAAGAAAACAGCCTTATCTGTCATATCATGCATTCCCGAAGGACCCGGACTAACGGAAGCAGTGGATCCAGGCGATCCGAAGAGATGAAGGTCCGGACTTTTGCATAAAGACGGGGAGCATTTTCGTATGTAGCCGCCGCTTCACACCCGAGGATTTTGTTAGCGGATCCACCACCAGCCGCCTTAAAAGTGAAGCTGTTCCTTCCCTGTTTGCCTGGAATAACTTCACTGCACCGGCAATGAGAGAGTCTGCTTTCGAGAGGGCTAAGAAACGGCAGCTTGTCCTCTCAGAAAGCTAGCCAGACTGAAGATGCTACTGCGGACCATGATTATATGGCACATCCACCCGCAGGTAAAAGATAGTATATTGTATAAATTTTCCATGTAAGATAATTTCAGTAAAATATATAATTGTTACTGTAATAGTATTATTATAATGGTCACATAATAATAAAATTATGAGATTATGTCTGGTTGTATACATCTATTCTCCCACTCACAACATGTATTGATCTTCACAGAAGTAACGTTTCAAATATATAATTAAAACTTATTGCTAAACGAATGTTTTGCTATTTTATTTTGTGGTTTTACAGGAGCACTTGATGAAGCTCTGGATTATATTAAGGAGTTGGAGGCCAGACGTCAAAAAGTGGATTTGTCCGCCACACCTTTTAGCCGCTACTGTGCCTCCGATGACCAGATCCGGTTCTACACCAAATTTCCATCTGAATGCGTGTTCTGGATCTTCTGGGAGTCCATTGCACCCTCTGCATCACTCCTGGTGTACTGGACCAGAGCACAGAAACTTGGAGAGGAAGCATGTGCTGAAGCCAGCCCTGCCTGCTGCATGCCTCTGATTGATGAGATCCTGATGTACCATTACTGAGTATTTATTGGTTGACGTAAGCTAAACAAACAAACAAAAAAAAAAGACATTAATGCTGCAGTTATTGTCATGTTTGTTCTTTCAGTAACAAATCCACCAATACATCTTTTATTTTCAATGATTTCTTTGTAATCCATCGTTTCATTATAGTTTTTTTAATATTTTTTATTTACACACATTTGTGAGAAGAATGTATCTTTTTTGGATAGATTCCAAAAAAAGCTAATTAAAATAGAGAGTGGTAAGCACAGCACAACAGACAAAAAATATCCATATATTTGGAACATTAAATAACTGGCATCTGAGTTGAGACAGCTGTATGCAACACTGAACTATGTCATCATCAACAGTAATCTTTGGTCTTTTCAGTCTTTTGTTTCCTGTCAGTTTTGTTCTAAGTCTCTGCCTCAACCAAAATTCCCTCAGCATCTTCATTCTGATGCCTCGTTGGGCAATCTTCCTCTTCTTCCCTTGCCTTTGCTTCTTTGTCCTCTTCCAGCTTCTCCTCTTGGTTCTCCATCTTCTCACAGTCAGCACATGATTCCTCTCCTGCTGCACCACTGCCTTCCTCTTCCTCTCCTTTCTCGGTTCCAGCCTTCTCCTTTTCCTCCTTGTCCTTCCTCTCTTTCTCTATTTTAGAGAGGCTGTGGCAGAGGGACTGCACATATGTGAACACGCACATCGGGTCTG